GTCCCAGCATCGTTTGTGGAAGACTCTTCTTTTCCCATTGTTGAAAATATTTCTTTAAATAATAAGATAAAATTTAATTTTCCTATGGATAATTTTAAAACTTTTTGTTTAGATTATAGGTGTTAATGAATGATAAATTTGTGTTTACATGGGTGTGCATGAATTTTACAAATTTTGTGTCTGGGTTAAAATAAACAAGACAAAAAACCTCTTATCAATAAAGTTATTTTTGCAAGAAGGCTGCAGGCCAATTACAGCTCGCTGGGTAATTTTCCCTCCCGGCTGAGGTGCTTTAGTGTTAGTCATGCTTGAACTGTGAGGTGTTGTTGGTGGTATTTAAATTATAAGATGTCTACTTTATGGAAAGGTTGGTCACTGACCATACATTCTAGAAGTTTGTTTTTCTGTCCATGCCAGGCATGATTATCTGTTAAAAATCTACAGAATTTTTGCTCAATATGCAGTTGTAGAGGAACCCAGGGCTCACATTTGTGAAACACTTTTTTCTTCCCTTTGTCATACTATCATTCTTTTGGTTAAGATTAATACCATGTGAGTAATGGAATACAGCTTGATGAAATTCTAAATGCCAGAATATTTGAGCAGAAACAAAAACTTGTGTTTATTGATCTCCTATTTATCGAAGATATTAATATGTATTTCCCATGTTCCATCTCCGGTCCACGCCCCACACCCTGGAAGCCGGCGGGAAGACCCAGGCACCTGTAAGAGGCCAAGGGGTCGTCTGTGCTGTGCCTGCAGCCACCACGCGGCGTGGCTGGAACGTGACTCTGGGATTTCTGACCTCAGAGTGCGCCAAGGTCATGGGATCTCTCTGCCAGGCCACTCTGAAAGGAAAATAGTCTTCTCTAGTCTTTTCTGGTTGCTGTTTACAGCCATTGGGCAGTAGAAGGGTGGTCACTGGCACTGGTAGTCAGAGCTCCAGAACAGTTTTTGTCTTAATTGTGGGCACTGCTGCTTTCGGATCCCACTTTCTTATAGTCTGAGGTCTGGGGATCTAGTTAAGGGGACCGTCCTATGTCCTTTAAAGTTCAGTCGTTAAGATTAATACACTTCCCCTGTCTTTGTATCACTCTGCTCGAGGCTTGCATTTCCAGGAGGTGGAGTTTGATGAGCCCACCTTGGGTGTCGTGCTGATTCCTTAGCTGGGGAGGGGAAGATGCTCTGGTCAATGTCCTCACCCAGACTGCATTTAGTGCCCACTGCAAGTTTTCTGAAAATATTTGGCTTGTTTCAGAAAGACAGGGAAAGGGTCACCAGGTGGGCAGAAACATATTCATTGTTTAAAATAGTAACCCTTTCTGTATTAATTCCTGTTCCCACTGCCTCTCTGAATGATGGAGAGCTTGCAGCCCACTGTGCAGTTTACTTGGCTGCTGCCTGTGCAGTCATAGAATTGGTCCCCATGTTGGCACGGTGGCTCTGGGTGCCTCCCTTCCACTTCCCCCAGTTGATTCAAGACCCTCTCCTGCTCTGACTGAGGCAGTACTGATCATGGCAGGGGAAAGTCCAGATTCCAGCTTTGCCACACAAGCATTTTGTGAATCGCTCAGCATTTACGGTAGTTTCTTTGTCGGTAAACAAAAGAGGGCACGTTGGTTTAAACCATCAGACTTGTAGAAGAGGAGTCTGGGAATTTTGCTCTTTTCTCAGAAGCCACAAAATAGAGCGGGTTTCATTTTTACAGTGTTTGTGTAAACGTTAGTGTAGTGCCACTCTTTGTGTTCTGTGTCAACTAGTACATTTGCATTTAAAGGACACACTTTTAGGTGTTTATTTTTGGCATAAGGTCTATATTACT